AGAGCTCTACCCTGGCTTGAGTCTACAGCGCTTCAGAGTTCTTCATTGTCAAGTATCCTCTGAAGGAGGGCCAGGCAGTTTCAAAGGCCAGATGAAGACAAAAAAAAGACTGACAGCTTCCCATTGCTTAAATAGACTTTTCTTGCTGGATGGGAACCCTTTGTTCAGCACTCCTCATCCCCATGGGAAAACCACCAGGTTCACAATGGATTCCAGTATCCACTGACAAGGTCACATCTCTTTCTAGGACCAACCACAGTTTGGGTTTACAGGCAAGCACAACCATCCACAGATCATTGGTATGAGTCATTAAATGCCTGAAGTATCACTAATGCAGTGGTCAATCAATCAGTAGTTCAGGATCCATCAGTAGATCCTGCAGCCTCTGACAGGTGATCCTGACTGGTTTGGGCAGGAAGCTATCAAGTGCTGGCATTTCAGTTGCCCCTCCTCCCCATTGGCATGCTACTCCTGCCCTCTGCCTTGGAGCTGCCCCCCTGGAAGCCTCCTGCTTGCTGTGCAGGGCCCCCACTTCTATACCAGATCTCCATAGAGAAGGGGGTGGAGAGAGCTTAGCAATGCAGTTCTGTCACACTCACACAGTGTGCATCTGTTATTCTCACAAACACACTGTCCTTCACTCATCTCCCGACCCAACACATACGTGGAGGGTTGTTCTTTTACTGCTTGTAAAGTGTTGTTTTTGGTTTCTGACTGATCTGTGTGTTTCATAATTTTCATTTCTCTCTTAGTAGTGAATTCTAAAATACCTAACCAGTCATGGCTGGAGTAACTAGCCCTATGGCAGAGCAGGGAGTCTCCACATGCCGTCCCTGCCTGCAGACACCACTCCTGCAGCTCTCATTGATTAGTAATGGGGAACCGTGGCCAGTAGAGGCTGTGGGTTCAATGCCTGTAGGTGAGGTGCAGCACATAGCACCATGAAGCCACTGCTGTACATTCCAGCTGCTTTCAGGAGTGGTGCAGGGCCAGGGTAGGAGTAAACCTGCCTTAACCCCACTGCCTCAGGGTCAATGTGGCCCACTTCCAACAGTTGATGACGTGATGTGAATACCAAGAGAAGGAAACTTGCTTTTGTAGTGAGTCAGCCATTCCCAGATTAATAATGTCAAGTTTGCAAATGAATTTCAGCTCTGCAGTTTCTCTGTGAAACCTGTTTTAAAAGGGTTGGTTTGTTTGTTGAAGGGCAGCTTTACTGAGTGCCTGGGAATTGGAAGTGTTCTCCTACTGGTTTTTTGGTATGTTACCATTTCTTGATGTCTGATTTATGTGCATTTAATCTTATATAGAGACTGTCTGATTTGGACCATGTATAAGGCAAAGGGGCATTGCTGGCACAATATATTAATAGATGTGTAGGTGAATGAGCCCCTGATGGTGTCTAGGTCCTAGGATTAGGTCTCTTGAGTAGGTATGTGGGCAGAGCTGATAATGAGGATTGGTTCCTGGGTTAGTGTTTGTGGCGTGTAGTTGTATTCAAGATTCTAGGCGTGCTCAGAAGGGATGCACCATTCCTGGATGGCCACACAAGAATTACTGTATTTAAGAAAGTAGCACAGAATAAGATTTGAGTGCTTTGGGGACACAAACCCTACTCATTTTGCATATGCTACCTTGTTTCACTAAAGCAAAATACAGGACTATGTAGCACTTTAAAGACTAACAAGATGGTTTATTAGATGATGAGCTTTCATGGGCCTGACCCACTTCCTCAGATCAAGTAGTGGAAGAAAATAGTCACAACCATATGTGACTATTTTCTTCCACTACTTGATCTGAGGAAGTGGGTCAGGCCCATGAAAGCTCATCATCTAATAAACCATCTTGTTAGTCTTTAAAGTGCTACATAGTCCTGTATTTTGCTTTAGTGAAACAAGGTAGGTTTCACTAAATCATTGGGCTTCAGTAGGTTTAGCATGCTTTCCTGACCTCAGAAACATACTGTGGTATAGGAGGCTCTCTCACATACAGCTTAACTTGAGAGAACTGCACCTCAGAGCATTTTTTAAAGAGTCCACATGGAGAGCTTGTCTTTTGAGCACTGATTACATTTCTGAGAAGTGGGCTGTTAAGAATAAGGCTCATGACGTAAATTACTGCTTCTCACACAAGCCTTCACCTACTTCTGTTTTGGGTTTTTTTGGATGGGGGAGGGGAGAAATGCGGAGTTACTACTTCATGTTAGTTTCCTGCAAGAAAAGTTTTCCTCAGCATTTCCTGCCCAAAACCATTAAAACTTCCTACTCCCCCGCAAGTGAAAAGGTTCTAGAAACAGTACCTTTCCTAGTCTGTGAAAAAGCAGCTGTCTGTGAAAAAGCAGCCTCTTTCATAAAAAGGTCAAAACAAAGCTGTGTCCTGAGAATGCAAGCTGATTTGTGTCAACTTCCTCTCTCACCATGCCAATTAAAGGTTTTGCAAAATTAAGCTGTTAACTAAGCAAAACCAGACAGTGCTGTTTCTCATGTTCAGAGCTCCAGGCACTTCTGCTTTTCCCAGCCCTCAGGCTGGAGTCTTACAAAAGTAGCAGGCCTAGGAGAAAATGAACAAGACCATTTGGAAGAAATACTTCGCTGTGGCTGTGTCTACAATGGTGCGATCTTGTCTACACTGGCCGCGAGTTCTTGCACAAGTACACTGACGTTCTAATGTACGAAATCAGGGCTTCTTGTGCAAGAACTCTGATGCTCCCACTCAGGAATAAGTCCTCTTGCGCAACTGTTCTCACGCAAGAGGCCAGTGTAGACAGGTAGCATGAATTTCTTGTACAAGAAAGCCCTATAGTTAAAATGGCCATCAGAGCTTCCTTGCACAAGAAAGTGTCTACACTGCCACGGATGCTCTTGAGCAAATGCACATGCCAGTGTAGACGCTCTCTTCTGGAAGCGTTTTTGCACAAGAACTCTTCTGCAAGAGAGTTCTTGCACAAGATCATGCCAGTGTAGACGTAGACTGTAGGATTTGAAAGATTATCAGAATTCACCTTTCCCTCCTTACCTGGCTTGGTCTAATCTACACGTACACTTTTAGCAGAATATACTAGCAGCAAGTGTTCCAGGAGTGATTTAAGCCATGCCCCTATTTAAATGTTCACCTGACACATTTATGAAGGGATTCCCGTACTGGCATGTCAGACTTTTACAACAGGTCTTCACTCAGACTAGGTCTACACTGCAATTGGCAATCTGTACAGGCATGCCGCACTAAGGATGTAAAAGACTAGTCAACTATCTGGTAAGCATTTGCTTATCAGATAGTATTTTGACTAGTCAATATCACCTTCCCTTTGCAACCTCTATAAGAGAGAGGCAGCAAAGGGAGGAGAAGGGGTACTTCAAAGTGGCAGTGCACAGCGGCACTGACACTTGAAACCCCAACCCTTTAAAATGTTGCCTGTGCGCCATTCAAAGGAAGGACCCAGCTGACCCCGGGCTCCATGGCTG